CTTACGTAATAAATTCTACTTCACTCAACATTATAATGCATGTACACACACACAGAGTGGCTCCTGTTATGATCTTGTCATCAATTAGAGCATCTATTCAGATTCTTGCCAGGTCCTACACTTCAAATCTGCAGAGCCCAGCTGGGTCTTCAAAATTATTTTCAGAGCATCATATCTAGGGCAGATGACACATCCAACCGGGGTCTCCCTGTTGGTGAGGTATGAGACCCACATGAGCACAGAAGGCAGATGCTGCAATTATGCAGAAACTAAACTACTCTCCTATAGGGAAGGAACCAGGCCACCACTCATCATTGCTGGGTTATCATGGAATACTCTACTAGTTTAAGCTTTCTAGGAGGAATTAGTGATAAAATTATTTTGTTCTCAACTGCAATCCTTATTACTAACTCTTGGATTATTGCAACCTGTTAAGCCCACATATGATTGGTCTTCGACATTATAAAATCACGGGGATGTTCCTGACAGGGAATAAGAATTCCACCCTGCATTCTGATCATCTGTTTAGTTCATTACTAAGCTGCAAACTCCTTATACACAGGGATTGTGCCTGGTTTATTTCCAGCGACTAGCACAATGTTTGCCATACATACTCATGATTTGAGGGAGAATCAGTACATGTGTTTTAAAAATATACAGTAACAAACATAATGGAAAAACTCTATTTTAATAATTAATAAATATTTCTATGATAAATTTATTTAAAAGTAGATTTCCAACCTATCTACTATGCTTCTGTGTGTCTTTTCTAAATTTAGGAAATGACTAATTACTATAAATGGTCTACTGAACACTCCACTTTACAAAGTCAAAATAAAGAACTCACAGTTCTTGAAACCAGGTCCCTGAACTTTACCTTGTTCCTGTGGCTGCTGCGGGTCACAGGAGTAATGGACACAGTAACAAGTGTCCTCCAGAGTGCTCTGCCCCCAAGGGCAGGCTACAGTGGAAGGGGCTGGCCAACCCCTCCGCCCAGACCCTGGGTATTCTTTTGACAAATGGACAAACTTCAGATTTCCTGGGTGTGTGCTCCTAACTATAGCTCATTTCTGAAAATGCTTCCACTATTATTTGCTACATTCTACTGTATCGTTTTAGAGATTTCGATTTAGAACATATTTTTCTGCACAATGCTACAGAAGGGAATTTTTTTTTAAAGAAACACTGGGTGAAAGCACCAGAATTAAGAGCAAACGATCATTTAACGGCAAGCCAACTTGCTCATTTGTTGTGAGAAAACAACAATCTTTAAGGGAAAAGGAAAAAACACACATTGGCTTTGATTCTGTTGGATAGTCAGCACCGCCCGAAAACACTGGAATACACGTTCTTTGTTTAATTGCATTCCATGTAGGGAATAAAAATGTTATAGGAAAAGAAATAATTTCTTAAAAGACTTAGTAAAAAAATATAAATCCATTCATATAAATTGACTTAAAGAGCATTTGCTAGTTCAGTTATGTTACCTGTCATATCCCTGACCGTGTAGGAAAGAGAGGAGAAAAGTAAGACCTTTAGTCATACCCACCTTGGAAAGATTACCTTAGTCATAAGCTATTTTTAACTTACTAAATAAATCGGTTTATGTCACTTTTATTCATTGTTTATAACACATGAAAAGAAAAATACAAAAATTTCTAATATTTAAAAATGTATAATTAAACAATACCTCTTATACATTCACATCCCAATGTCAGTTTGTACTAGGAATGTTATACAAAAAGAGCAGTAGTTTATACATAGACTGAGTAAAATTATGAAAACATACATTATTCAACAATGAAACGTTTAATAAGAAAAATGAACAGTTTGCTATTTAAGAGAAATGCCCCCAGAGAAAAGAGGCATTTGTCACAGTTCAAGATCTGTTTGGTGACCTAAAACATTTTAGACACTGATCTGAGGAGGAAAGGTAGGACACACACATGAATTAACGCAAAGCACAAAGCCACAACGCATGTCATTCACAAACAAGGGTTAAAATACAATCATGTTGCATTGACCGGTCACAAAAATGCAGTCATTAAATTAACACATATAGGTTAAGATTTATTTATTCTTTTTGTTATTACAGCACAAAAGATTTTCTACAACATGATAATTTCAAGGCATTCTTACAGCTTCTATAATATTTTAAATGATTTTGCACTTTGTATTTTTATTTTGCTTTGAAATGAAAAGCGTTTCAGTGATTTCATGCCATTAATTCAGACACATGCACATACAGACTCTCCTACTTTTATAACCTAGTGAACAGGATCTGTTGAAATTGAAGTTATCTAGCAGAGAACTTTATATGTTGATAAGACGTATTTTGAAGTTCGGCTAACACGTACCAACACTGAAAGAGGTAAAAGGTTATATCTTGTTTTTGATAACAAAACTTCAGATCCCCTAGACCCTTTTAATATAAAAGGCTAACTTAATTATAAATACTCTTCATATGAAAAAAAGAAATCCAGGTACTCTAATGACATATATGCACTTTATACATAGAAAAAGTAAATAAATAACTTTACAAAAACTCTAACTTAAACATTTATTATTTTTAAAACTTCATTTCAATCTATCAAAAAATAAAAAATGACAGTTCTTCACTAGTGCAAAGACTGAATTATTCAATAAACTCCTTTTGGAACATACATGGAGTAAACAATGAAGACTTCTGTACTTCTGTCCATTTTGTAATTTGTGGGTATGATTGGTTTCTTAGTTATTTGTTTCTGCAAGGTTGAAAGGACACCCATGCATAGGACTTTAATGGACATTCAGATTTTTCACTTGTGACATCATTTATATACAAAAAGAGCATATCACAAATATATTATAATATTATATTGGATACATTCCTAAGCAGTAGATAAACATTGTCTGAATATCACAGGGGATGTGTACAGAAGGTTGATAAACTTTACTATGTTGTAAAATGTCAAAGGACCCAAAACATCTAAAATTGACCCAAAAGATAGTATTTCTAATTTGAATATTCTGTAACTTTAAGTATATTTTTATGTCAAACTTAAAAAGCATTATAACATTTATTAGATAGATCATAGGTCAGTAAACTTTTCTCAGAAAGAGCTAAATAGTAATACTTCAGACATTTTGGGGCAGACAGTCTCTATTGCAACTAATCAACTCTGCTATTGTATGCAAAGCCAGCCACAGATAACGCATAAACAAATGAGTGCGACTGTTTCAAGGAAGCGTATTTACTACTAGAGGCGATGGTCCAGATTTGGTCCATGGAAAACATTTGCTGACCCCTGAACAAAATACCTGACTCAAAAATGCTTCATTTTAATTGCTTCAATACCTAGTACAAAGCCAAAGTTGTAAGTAAATGTTTGATGCTTTCTGAATTAAAGTTGTAAATGGGAAAATAACACTTTTGTGTTCAGAAACAAAAGCCATTATTGTTCAATCTCTAATTAATGATTAAGATTCTCCCTTCCTAATTGGAGCAAAATTCCAAAAAGGTAATCCACAGCCTTATTAAGAACTAGGCTTATAAACTAAAAACCAATAAAGTGAAAAAAAAAAACTGCAAAAGAGATATAGTAAGGCAAAAGTGAATTTCCAACCTAAGCTGGCTAATTAAAAATGGTATCTTTTTATGGTGAGTTCTTCTAATATTTCAAATCCCCCCAGGTGGACTGCAAACTCCATAGCAATGGAGTTGCAAGAAATATGATTTAATTATATTATGATTTAAATCATAATTAAATTATGATTTAATTTACTCTGTAGCATCATACAAGAATTTAGAATATGATCAGTAAATTTCTATTAAATAAAAATAATGTGGCATAATGTGTTTTTGTTAGTTTCGACAGTGATGGTCCTCTGAAACATTAATTTTACTGTAAGATCCTCCTGCAAAGTTAAAATGCTCTGTGTATCATGTCACACTTTGACTATAAAGATACATTCCAGCCTCAACCAGAACTTTACTGGTCAAACAGCAGAACTTGAACTTGAGTTTACATCTCTCTTGATGGTTTGACTTGGGCAAAATGAAAAAAAGTGCAGGCTTCAAGGACTGGTTATAAAACTGATGTTGTAATTATTTTTCAAATAAAAACTGTTTTAACTTCACAAATGTAATAAATAGATTATAAACTCGAATCAGTTTTTCACCTCACAGAAATTAACTGGGTTGTTCAGGATTCAGAAGATCAGTGGTGATCAAAATGCATATTTCATTATAGTTATATGTGTGTTATTCCTCAAATACTGGATATTTGAAGAATACCAGAGAACCATTCATAAGTAAAACTTGTAAGTTTTGCCTATAGGTCTCAAAAGAAAACCCAGAAAATTAAAACATTCCCAACCTACAGTAACTCCACACAGTGGAAGAAATACATACTCATATAAATTATTATATAAATCATACTTTCCATGATGTATGTAACAGACTACATTCAACTTACTTTATGTAAGTAAATGTCTCTATGTTTACTTTAATATAGTATTTTCACATTTCCAAGCAAATTAAGTTTAACAATGACAAAAAAACAAGTTTTAAAAAATGTTATTTGGTTTTGGGATCAGTTATTGGACATCGACAGACAGAAGCCACATAAATGCCCAAACAAGACACAGCCTGAATTTGCCATTGTTACAAGCACAGTATTAACAGTATATACAAATGTAAATAGTAAAACCTATCTGATTAATTGAAAGCAAGCCAACGATGTGACAGAGAAAAATATTTCCATCAGAATAGTGCTACGGTTCAAAATTCACTTATAAAAAATAAATACATATAAAATTATATATATTACAGGAGTTGAAGTCAAATTGGATTCCTCTTTCAAACTATCAAATGTAATAACACAAGCCAAGATGGTTAATGATCTTATGTTTTGAAAAAATCAGGGAGGATAAAGTATCTACAATCCACAATTTATGAAGAGAGAAAATTAAAATAAAAGGGATGAAACAAAACAAAAAAGGTAAGAATACTATCGTACCGATTTCCACGGTCCCCGATGCCAAGACGCACCCTCAGGACAGGCGTGCACGTGGCACTGCACTACACTAGGCGGCTTGTTTAACACCTCACAGTTGTGCTCCTGTGACAGCTGGCCATTGGGAAACTGACATATCACAAACCTTGATTTTATTCCTCCTCCACATGTTTGTGTACACTAAAAACAAAAAATAGGAAAGTCCAAGACCATTAAAGGTTATCATTCCTTCATAATTCTCAGCATTTCTCTCCGGGTAAAATAATAAATCAAAGTTTTAATTCCACAATTTAGAAAAAAAAACAACAAGACTTTTGGAATTAGTATTATGAAATATTTGAACAAAATATCAAGTGTCTATAAGATGCTGTTGGCAGGTTGAGCCAGAAACAAAACCGATTCACCTAAGTAACAAGCATCACTTGCATAAAGTGTGGTATACATCAATAGAGGACTATGTAGCCATACGAGTTAACAAGTGGGTTTAATTTTATAAACACGAAAAGATGCTCAATACATGGCATATAAAAATTGCAGGTATCAAAGCGACACGTTCATGTCTAATATAAACTCATGTCTAAAACTCACACAGAACAAAAGTCAGGCAGAAATGCTAGAAGTTGTTATCGCTTTCTATTTTTTCATGTGATTTCAATTTTCAAAATGAACACACATAAACTCAAAAATAGAAAAGCTACTTTAATTTTGGAAAATAGTAAAAGTGTATTTTAAAAATGTACTTGATATTCACTTGCACTCAGTCAGGATGTACCTGTACGTAATGATTTCCAAAGTCTCTATGAGGAAAAATCATATGCCAAAAAATAAATAAATAATATGATTGATTAAATTAGGTGATTCATTTCATTCATCCAAAGATAATATAAATCTTTGTTTCTTATTTTTTCCCATTCCAAATTATTAGTATTAAAAATGACTGTTAGCATTAAAAAAATGACTGTTTTAAAAATTAGCTTTGTTATTTCCAATGCCTAGAGTGCCAGAGCTTGAAAAAAGTGTAATTGACAACTCTCTGGTTTAAAGAAAAAGATTCACCCAATAAATGATATACCAATGTAAATAGCAAAACAGAGGAAGTTTTCCTATTCTCACAGTCAGTGAGAAGGAGAAACAGAGGTTTCTCCTCAGAGAAGGAGAAGCAAAACAAAACAAAAAATACGTTTTTGTTTTTTTTCCTGCTGCAATGTGTTTATTCTGTGCCAAATAAACAAAAAACCCAGGACAGAACAGGTTTTATATTTCAACCTAGCTTTCTATTTTTATATCAACCTAATTTTCTAAACAATAAAAAGAATAATAAACTCATTTGGGAAAGATCTTAGTAGTAACAGACATCTGACGAGCATATTAGGTCCTATTAAAAATTATGGTGCAATATGCCCATTTTTTACCACAAAGGAGTGACTTAAAACTTAACATCTATTTTTTTTTTTTTTTGCAGTTTTTGGCTGGGGCTGGGTTTGAACCCACCACCTCCGGCATATGGAGCCGGCGCCCTACTCCTTGAGCCACAGGCACCACCCAAACCTTAACATCTATTAAAAATGGTTTTAATCACTCAGTTAAAAAACCTTTGTCTAGTACCTCACAGTATAAAGTGCTTTCCTTTTGGTCTTTGGAGATGGAATCATCTCACAAACTTAGGCCACATTTTGACTTACTTCTCCCCAGCTTCCGTAGTTCCACCGTGGACAAGGTCCTGAATCACAGTGCCTGGACTCTGGGGGCCTGAAGGCTGCATCACAGTGACTGGCACTGAGCCCGTGCTCATCCTGGCAGACCACCACCCTGCGCTGAAGACCTCCAGCACAGCTGCTGGAGCACTGAGGAGGAGAAACAGAACACAACAAAAAACACAATCCTACATCATGAATTCGTGTAGGAAAAAAATCACACCCCACATCAAAATCTCCTTACTGGAATCATAATTTGAATCGAGAAAATCTGTCCAAAAAAACCCACTTGCATTTTACCAGGGGCTTCATTAGAATTCACTGATGAAAAGGTGAGGCTTTTAAGCTTTCATTAGGAAATAATTTTCTCTTTAAGTAAAAAGAAATTAACGTTTTAAAGCCTTACTAGGAAAGAACGAAAAAGATAATTCAGTGTTAAATTACTTAATTTTGACATTGGTGTTTCTCTTTCTTTTGTAACACTGATCTATGTAAAATATAAACGACAACTGTACCTTTCATAATTTATCACTATTTTACACCAGCTTATTAAATTGCCATTGTAATCATTTTTTGTCTTGGGGTAATTTTTTATAAAAATTTATAGTCTTACCTCTTGCAGGGTTTTCTATTGTTTTCATTATAATGAACTCTAAGTAGGAGTGTTTTAAAGTGCATTCTTCTGTAATCATAACATCACATCAGTGTATAATTTAATAAGAACTCTGCAGATTGGTAATCTGCATCAAAAAATGCTTAATTGTTTTAAGATTTAAACTATTTATCTGTAGTATTTAAAGTATTTGACATCATCGTATACATATCTGTTGAAAGGATGTTATAAAACTCAATTATAGAATTAATATAACTCGATAAAGATGGCTTACTGATCCCCAAGGTCCTGTTCTCCATTGGTTTCCTCTGGCTGACGAATGGACCTCCTGATTTTGATTATCTTTAGGTTTGTGAGTTAATGGAAAATTCCTGCCTGGGAAATGGCTTGGCTCCTCAGAGGAACTGGGGAAGTGGCTGTATGTGGGCAGGCACTCTGCCAGGTTACATTCCTCTTCTATCAAAGGGCGCACGCCGGGGTCACAGTAATTCTCATCAATTGGCTGATGGTAGTTGATGCAAAAAACTTGCCGAATTGTTTTTCCACGTCCACAAGAAGCTGAACACTGATCAAAAACGTAGCCAACATATACAATGTAATCTACTACATTAACAGTATATTACATATCAAATATTATATTTAATTTTTTATTTCCCTTTATTCTCATAAGGATACTTACAGGGGACCAATTTCCTGTTTGCCACTCTCCACAAGGGCTAAAACAGGGAGCTATTTCAGCAGGTCGGGGTAAGTGGGCACAATATGATTCATCCGCTATTCCGTCCTGAGCATCACGACAGCTTACATAGCGGGCTTGACTACCACTTCCACAAGACACAGAGCACTTAAAAAAAAAAATCAGATGATACTGAGGTGTCACATAGTACCTATCGCATGTCTAAAGCATTATATTTCTTAAGAATATTTAAACTACAAATAGTATCACCTGGCATCACTTCTGAGTCAAATAAAGATCAGGTAGTGAAGATCCCAATCCATTTAGATCATAAATTTCACATACAATATATAATAATTTGAATTACATATGAATATAATGATTCAAACAATGCTTAGCAATTTGCCAAAATTAAAGATGCTGAAAACATTTTAGGTAAGAGAATCTTAAGATGTAATTAAATACAACTTTGATTCAGCAAAGAAGATACCATAAAAAAGTAACTTTGAAAGACCTATTAGGATAGATATGATTCCAAAATTAAAATATTCAGAAAATGATGTGAAGCTTAAAGGTATATATTCCAGATAAGAATATACCCCACATACATTAAAGCTTTCAGTTTAGAATAACACCGTGACAATGTCTGTAGTTTAAATAAAAGCTAGTTAGAGCCTAACATCACATTCTCTCATAATAACCTGTGACATAGGATTATTATTATTCAAATTTTATAGAAAAATAGACTCAGAAAATTTAAATTTCTTGTCCAGAGACACAGAGCTCTTGAAAGTCAGAGAAGGATTTAGCCATTAATTTCTGCTTCTAATTCGTATGCTTGAGAATCCTATGCTATTCCTAGAAATAAATGCATACACTAATTTTCAAATCTTTAGCAACCATTATGTTTTGTCAAATGCCTCTATAATGGAAACACTATATGTCTTAAAGAAATTTACTCACTGGCGTCCAAGAACCATGTCGCCATTGTGCTATCTTTCCTGTGGGAACAGCTGGTAATGAAGTGGCCCCAATTTCAGAAACAACCGGGCAAGGTGCAACAACGCAGTCCTGTTCAGGAGAAAAATGAATCCATAAACATTACTCAATCACTCTGATTTATATTTAAGCCAATTCTTCCTTTCTTCTGCCCTATGTCTAATTCAAGAACAATTTACATATTGAACTAAATTACAAAAAGGTGATCTAAAGCTTTTTCTTTTGCTTTTCTTTTTTCTTTTTTACTGAGACTGTCTCTCACTCTGTGGCCCTGGGAAGAGTGATGAGGTGTTATCATAGCTCACAGCAACCTCAGACTCCTGGGTTCCAGTAATCCTTTTGCCTCAGCCTTGAAAGTAGCTGGGACTACCGGCCTGTGCCACTACGCCTGAGTAGTTTTTCTATTTTTAGTAGATATGGGGTCTTGCTCTTGCTCAAGCTGGTCTTAATCTCCTGAGCTCAAGTAATTCACCCACCTCAGTCTCCCAGAGTGTTAGGATTACAGATGTGAACCACGGTGCTTGCAGGTTTTTATTTTTCAAAAGCACAAAGTACAGTAGGGTCCAGTGCCAAGAGTACGTAATGACTCTGAATCCTAACATTTGGGTCAGGCTGTCTGATGGTTAAAAAGGAAATGGGCTGTAGTCCTTTAAAAATACTGCTCATCATTGAGTTACTAATTATTATTATTAATTAATGTTCAGTAGTAAACATTAATACTATTATTGAAACATTCCTAATGTATGCAGCCTCTATATCAAAAAGCACTATATACTTTAGAAGTTCATGTTATGCATAATAACTGATATGATTCATCTTCTTCATTTCAAAAATGAAGAAATACAGCTAAAGAGTAAAACAGTTCATTTATGATGCTGGCAAAACCAAGAACAATAAATCCCCCCTACACATAGCATGTTTTTAAAGGCATGTAAGTTTAAGTGGGAAAAAATACAGAAAGAAATTCCTGTAACATACCAAAAATCTTTCTGTCTCAGAAAGCTTTTTGTGTATATCCCAAGAAGTGTCCCTTACCTGCCTGTCCTGTGGGCGACTGGCACCGTGGCACTCGGTGTCATCTACGACTGCACTGAGAAGGTCACTGACACACTGAACAGCTCGCATCTGATGCCCGTGTCCACAGGTGGCTGTGCACTGAAAACATACAAATAGATGTGAAGAAAAGATTTTTTCAAAAATTACATAAAATTCCGTATTTTTAATGAGTACTAACATAATTCTAGTAGATCTTATAGCTAGTCCCTTTTATAAGAGTCAAGATTCAAAATGAACAAATGCAATCAATATGCACATTGTTTCAAATGTATTAGGTAGATGTCAATAAAATATTGACGTTAAAAGAAGTGTGTAATTATTGTATCCTAAAGAGTTATCATGTAAAAACATCAATAGAAGCCTGATATTTTAGAGGCAGAATCAATATGATTTAGGAAAACTAAATACTCATACTTTTCAATCTCTACCTGGTGTAGACATGTCCTTTAACATTCCAAGTAAATGTCAAACAGATAAAAGAAGGAAGAGTGTATGATGAAGAGAAGATGAAAGAAGGTTTCCTATCAACTGTGGCAAGCCCCACAGAACAGAAAGCTACCCACCTTCCTCCAGCCTGACCAGGCTCACTCTGCAGATTCCTAGCTGCCTGTTTGGCAAAACTTCTAAACAATGCCTACTCTAAATACAGTGAAGATGTCACTCTAAACACAGAACATGAAAACACGGATAGTTTAAACAAAGCTGCTAAGAGCAGAAATCTGTAGCATGTTGGTTAATGAAAATAAGTTCAAAAGAAAAGCTGAAATACAGGACGGCCACAAAGTCTGTGTGAAATTTAAATGCTGTGCAATTTAAAACTGCACACAAACTTACAGCCGCCCTGTATTTACTACAACAAAATTAGCAATACTGTCAACATTTTGCAGGCAAAGGTTCACACTTCAGGGGTATCTTTCTGTCTTTATTTTATGGTATGCTTACATGGTTTTAATTTTGGCCCCAGATCAGTTTTGAGCTATTACAGAGAGAACTTTTAAAGGATTCATGATACATGGTGATTTTCACATTTCCTTTTTCTCTCGCACTCATTCTTAAACAGAAATGTCCGTGTTTGCTACAAATAGATTAAATTTCCTTGGTTACAGTTATGCCTCTATTAACAAAAAGGGGCATGTTCCCACAGCTCACACAGTTGTCAAATACTCTGTTGCTCCCCCAAGTTGTCACACTCTGTAGAAGAGCATAAGGAACACTTAAGCAAATGAGAAAAAAAGGGTCACAGGGTGAAAATTCAGTCATGCCAGCAAACAAACAATGACTCTTGCTGGGATTAACACTCGTGAAACACACACCACACGTTGGCAAACACAGCCTGCACCCACCCCGGCTTTGCGAACACAGGTCAGGGGAATACGATGGCAGAGAGGCCCAGCCATGGCTCTTATGTCCAGGGGTAGCTTTCTAATAAACCAACCCAAATTTCATCCCATCCACCAAAGGAGGCATGAATACATCACAACTTCTGTGCCATTCTGTAAATATGGATCCAGTTAGAAAAATCCCTATCATATACTCACAGAACCCCATGGTCCTACTTGCCAGGAAGCACATAGATGGCGCTCACAGGGCCGCAGGGATTCAGGTTCAGTGCTTGGATTACAGAAGCTGTCACTCAAGTGATCCTCATTCAGCTGACACCATACTTGCCGCTGCTCTGTTCCTTTTCCACATGTAACAAGACACTGTAAGAAAAGGACCTGATAACTATTTACTTGCAGTAGTTGTCAAAATGGTGCAATGATCAATATGCGTATTAAAACACAGTTGGAAGACCAACCCTAAGTGCATTTTCTCTCATTGCTCCGGAGATAATTACTAAATAAAATCCCACTATCTCCTAACTTCCACTGCCCAAGTCCCACTGAAACATCCACCTATCCTAGAAACAAAGGTATAAAACTAACCTTAGAATAAATAAATAAATATACCTCTCCCAGGCGCCTGTGGGCAGAGGCACTTTCTTATGAAAATGGTTCTAGATTAAACAATGGTTATTGTTATTGTCAGCCAGATACTGTAAATAGTTTAAGGATGAACTATTTTGTATATTTTTGATTGCCTTGATAATAAAGTTATTTACAAAATGATAAAATAAATTCAAATATTTTCGAATCTTGTGAAGTCTGATTGCAAGGCTTTTCTCACACAGTATTTTTACAGTTCTAAGCCTCCTGTGTTTAATGTTACCTCACTCCACTCACTAGTAGCCCAACTTGGACAGGAAAACTCGTTGCAATTCTCTACTGTCAATTGGGAAAGTTCTTGGCATTCTCTGTCAGCAAGACGGTGGCCAAAATTATTTATGCAGTAAGATTCTCGAGACCTTTCTCCTCCTCCGCAACTCCTGGAACACTGATTGAAAATAAAAAGGGGGTAACTAACAGGGAAAAATTAGATTTTTAACAAAAATATACCTTAGAGTAACAAATATCTAATTAGAAAAAAGGGGCAGCATTCCTTAAACAATTCGTTTTGTTGTACCTGGGACCATTCTGAATAATGCCATCTTGTTAAGACACAGTCACCGTGGCATGGTTCTCGGGTAGCAGGTTTAAGTTGGTCCGCACAGTAGTGGCCGTCTATGGGAACAGTATGTCCTTTGTGAATGGAATACTTCATGCATTGGACATCCAAGGACCGATACCCTTGACCACACTGGGACGAGCATTCACTTTTGCCAATGATGTGCCACCTAGAAAAAGAAAACTGTTATTACACTTAGAAGATACGTTAATGCAATTAAAAAGTAGAGAAACTCATGCATATGATTCAAATTTAAAAATTCTAAGAATTGATGGACAAGTTACCATAAAAATACAGCCAGTGGTTAAAGCTGGGACAGGGGATAGGAGGCAGTACTCATGTACTGACCATGGCATTTGGAGGTGGCCTTGGAGGTATGTCCAAGAACTTCAAAGTTTGCCCCAAACCCTTGAGAACAGCTAGTTTAGACCAAGATCACCCAATTACTTGGTGGAAGATTTGGTGGCTCACACCTATAATCCCAGCACTGTGGGAGGATAAGGAGGGAGAATAGCTTGAGCTCAGGAGTTTGAGACTTGCCTGCGCAAGAGTGAAACCCTGACTCATTAAAAAAAAAAAAA